CAACTCACTCTGACCATTTTTCATATTCCAGAACGTTTCTGGTTAAAGAGTGAACATTGGTATCAATCCCGCACACCCCTGTTGCAAACTCCGCTCACTTTGAGGATTTGACCACGTTACTTCTATACCCTTTAACCATTTTTTTCATGCGTTCTGGAAGTTTTGGCAAACAGAGGCTTGAATTTTGATCTCAGTCCCGCCCACCATGGTGTAAAGCCTGCCCCATTCGAAAAATTGGACGAAACGCCATCTATTCCTTCTAACACTTCAATACCGCGTTTTGGAGTGTTTCTGGGCAGAGTTACACTTGTTTTCAAATAGTAGCTACAATTTTGGCGTACACCCCGTGCCCTTCAAGAGCGGGGCTTCGCTAAGTCCACTCAGCGCAGCACGTATAACAACACCCCTCTTAATTTTGATTTCCATGTCTTCGTTGAATCGACTTGAGTGAGACCTGTAAACTGGGTGAAAACTTTGGTGAAAAGCACCGCTCACTGCGAGGACGCCCCACCCACAACCGATGAGTTTCTTTCATTCTATTTGATATCCTATTCCTCACCTTTGCTCATTCTTTCCCGGCGTCTAGACTGTTTTGAAAACAAAGGAACTTTTGCCCTTGTCAGCGCCCACCTTCAGCACATGCCCTGCCCCTGGAACGGAACTCCGCTGGGTTAGTAAAGGGGTAACGTATCTGACAAATCTAGAGTCATGCTTCAAGCAAGCGTATTTCCGTCCAACATACCCTACCTTACACGTCACAATGTAATCCTACCGGTTTTTCAACCAATGCACTTACCAGGGAGAGGTAGCCTACTTACCGTGGGACTTTGAATGGAGACCACAGATAAACCGGAAAAGTTTCGAATGCTATACACGAATATGGAAATTAAAACTGCTGAATGGTTTTCCCTAAAAAGTTATGGGGGTTGGAAATTTGCTTGAAAGTAATATTATTTGAATATGCGAACTCGTCACCTCGGTATCAAGTGCCGACGTGGCATAGTGGTAGTGGTTTCGCTTCATAGGCGTACGGTGGGGTTTGCTCCCCGACATCGTCGACACTCTTGCAAAGTATTTTTTCATTTTATTTAAGACTCTCTAAACCTTTTTCGACATTTGTTTAGGTGAACGCCTTATTTCTGCTTTTATTTTCTTTCGTCGCTCCTATCTAAGGAAAGTGGTTCTGAACGTCAATTGTATGACTCTGTTTTATTTTAAAATTAAAGGATCATTTGACAGAAGGATACTAGAGATGTCTAGGATGCCTGCAAAAACACTGATGGAAAAACCTCAAAAAAATAAGAGAAGCACGCACGTTGCTCACAAACTGCACACCTTATACTGCTGATTCTTCACATCCGGTGACAAAACGTAAATGTTCACAAGACTGACAAATACTCGGCCGGTGTGACGCAGGAACCTGGATACTCATCAACATACCCCGTCTTGTACCAAGAGCATTTTAAAAAGTTAGAAAAACGTGGTGCGCTAAACATTCGATATTGTTGATATAGAACCGTGAGTATATTATCCCTCGTGTCATATTAAAGTTCAAAATAGCTCTAGTTCCGATCTTCTTTGTGACATTCTGCATAGGACCGAAGGAAAAGACGTCCAACGGCTGAATCATTGACATAGCACCTTTCAGGAATATTGTGCATCTAACATTTTTTAACGTTTTTCCATTGGTGAGTTTTTTACAGGCTTCTTACACATCTCTAGTATCTTTCTGTCAAATGATCCTCGAAGTTCGAAATAAAATAGAGTCGTGCAATTGACGTTTCCCTGGATAGGGGCGACGAGAAAAAATAAAAGCAGAAATAAGGCGTTCACCTAAACAAGTGTCAGAAAAGGTTTAGAGAGTCTTTAATGAAATGAAAAACACTTCGCAAAGTGTCGACGATGGCGGGGAGCAAACCCGCACCGTACGCCCACAAAGCGAGACCACTACCACTATGCCATGTCGGCACTTGATATCGATATGAGTTCGCATAACCAAATAATACTTTTGTCAAGCAAATTTCCAGTCTCCATAACTTTTTAGAAAAACCTTTTAGCAGTTATAATCTCCATTTTTGTGAATAACATTCAAAAATCTCGATTCGATTTATCTGGGTCTCTATTCAAAGTCCCACGGTAAGTAGACTTCCCCTCCTTGGTTAGATTCAGATTTGATTTGATCTAATTCCATACTCTACGGCACCCTAACACACACATCCTTTTTCAGACTTGTAACTCTCTGCCGCAGTAATCTTACCGTATCCTGAGCTGCACTAAAAATCCGTCTTCGAATTTCTGCGCCACCGTAGTCTCACTGTAGTCCATTCTTCCTTGAGCTGTTCATCTTAATTCAGATTCGAATCTATCAGAATATCGTAACTGATCACCCGCTAGTTCCATGTATCAATCCTGTTCCAAATGTGTTTTTCTTCTGCTTTCTGCAACTTTTCTCAAGGGACATGAAGGTGTACATTAAGACTATCAGAAGACGTGATGCGTCAGATACTTCGATTCCCTTTCTAGAACTTTGAAACTTTCTAGAAGATGAGCTACAAATGAATGTGTACGCACATGCCATCGACCAAAGAAGTACTAGAACAATAAGATATTCCGCCAGAACCCTTTCATATGTGAGAATCACCACATATCCGGCATTCATTCAATGAACTCATGAATGAATCATCATAATCATGAATGTGCATGTATAAACAAAAAATGTCCCAACCAGTGTCAGATGCCTTGCCTCTTGACTTAATCTTTTGTTAATTGCTGTTATATCGCCGCACAACGCGATGCGAAAATCTCACAAGGGTATCGACTTTTGGGCAAACCTTGTAAGATCTAATCAGATATTATATTTATATAGTCTAGCGCCGATCATATGCTTTGCAGTAAAAATCGTTCTTCCACTCATTCTCTTGCCAATCCCACTTAGGGTACCCTTCTTCCAAGCTTTCGCAGGCGCGATCTCAAACGCGATTATTATTTACTATAGCCGATTGTTGCAGGTTTTTGACACAGGAAACTTTCTGAATAGAGGTGTTTTATGCTCACAAAAAGTCTTAGCCCTACTGGGAGTGAAAAGCATACCCTTCTTATCTCTAAAAAACTTAACCTCGTACAATACGTTTAAATTCTTGGTCGTACTGTTGATCATGTCATTTTCTGCAAAAACTGTGCTACTGATACGAATCTCTTATCGTGAAGGCTCTCTAGTTTGTTGCCTAAAATTCTCTTCCCCTCTCCATCATTTTGCTTGCTCTCTTTAGGTGAATGTGACTAGTTTCTTCATTCCAGGTTCTCTGAAATCCTCTACTTTCCTTCTCACCCTTCTGCTCTATAGATACGTAGGTTGCCTTTTATATTTCGGGTTCACTGTCTTTCAAAATTTTCCTCATTAAGATCTATACACTTTTGCATGCGCTCGAACCAATTTTTGAAGCATTCTTGCCACTCTGATTGAGGTAACTCCAAAACATGCATACTGAACGAATCAACCGCTCTTAAAGTGTTGAAAATGTTGACCTCTCATTTTCTTTTTTACGTACGGGATGAGAGGAAGTCACACGGGACTACATGGCTGATGACCTGTCAAATCGTTGTTTTGAATGCTCAAAAATGCAGTTGTTTGAGCCGATATGTGGGAGCTCGCATTGCGTGGTGAAGAGTGATCCGTCATCAGCAGTTGGTTTTCCTGATCGCTTGGAAGACAACTGGCAAACAAATGGCTGTATACCACTCAGAATTGACTGTTCTCCTTGTTCTAGTGGTACGGTTGCGACATGTCCAGTTTTTCCAAAAAAAAACAGGGATTACTTGCTTGGAAGTGCTTCGTGCGCGAACAGCCTTTGTTGGATTTGGCTCATCTTCAAATACCCANAAATGGCTGTATACCACTCAGAATTGACTGTTCTCCTTGTTCTAGTGGTACGGTTGCGACATGTCCAGTTTTTCCAAAAAAAAACAGGGATTACTTGCTTGGAAGTGCTTCGTGCGCGAACAGCCTTTGTTGGATTTGGCTCATCTTCAAATACCCATACGGTCGACTGCTATTTACTTTCGGATTCGTACGCGTAAACCCATGATCCATCACATGTCGCGATGTCACAAGCGGGTTTCGAAGCACCGCGATCGTATTTTTTGAGCATTTCTTCCGACCAATCGATACGAGCCTTTTTTTGAGGGATTGACAAATTTTGTTAGATCAATTTTTTACAGTCAAATGTTCATGCAATATTGAATGTATGCTGGTCCCTTTGATGCCTAAGGTTATCTCAATCTCACATAGGTCATATGGCGATCTTGCAAAATTAGTTTGCACACATCATCGTAATAACAACTGATTTTGGAGACCTCCACGAAATTCGTCTCAGAGTGAACCACGACCTCGGTTGAATCCAACATACTGTCGATGAGCACTGGTCTTTGATGGGGCTTCATCGCTAAAGGGGGAGGGGAGGTTAAGAGAGAAGGAGGTTTGGCCTAAGTGGGGAGTGGGGCGCCAAGAGCCTGAGTAAATTCTTTAAGTTGGTGTAAACAACGCAAGGAGCGCTCATATGTCAAAACTTTCTGTGTAAGTATAACCTCAAAAGAGTCAAATTTATAATAGAGCTGTCAGTTTCCAGATTGCAACAGTAGGGTTGCTCAATCCCGAAATATAAAAGGCAGCCCTCGTAGGTATTAGCAGTATAGCCTGTGTCTCTTGTTTTTACAGTATAAGGCGCCATTCTATTGCAAAAAGAATAAATTATATGAAGGACTCCAGTCATAAAGATCCATCTAAAAGTCCGCGTGGCTAGAAGAACCCCGCTCAGTAGCAAAGCGTGAAGGTTGTCACTTCATGAGAGATATTAAATTAGCCCTGTAACAAGGTATTTTTTCCTTATTTTGAAGGCTTTTGGAACTAATGACGTTCGAGGCTCGCAAACATCTCCACCCATTGCTAGTGAATTGACTTGACACTACAAAAGAACAAATACTGGAGATTGCCAGAAAGAGGGTCATAGACAATCAGGATCTTTGTGCAACTGAAGGACCACATTTAAGATAGCAAGGAAGACGAACAAAGCGGGCAAAATGCCAAAAAGTATCCTGTATAGAATGAAAATGGACTTATTCACAAGGCAACATGCATAAAGAACAGATTGGCTCCCCGTCGACATTTCACGAAATATCATAGAAAAACGTAAGCAGATATCGACGCGGCGAAGGGATACCTGAGGAACTCTGGAGTTTTTCCAGATGTTGGATGGTTGTAGGTAACCTTTGCTTCATAAGATCCTTCATTACGATTATATCGACAGAAAGAGCTCCAAGCGATTGATCAAAGTACCCTTGAGGCATGACATGCTCGAACAGGAAGATCATGATCTGGGCGTGTGGAACATTATATGGTAGAACAGTTAAGTCTTCGGACACAATTTAACAGAAACCACACCTTCAAGGCGACATCGGTACGATACTCAACCACTTGGAGAATCAGAGCAGCGATCACATTGAATCCTTGGCAGTACCCAACAATCTTGTTAAACCTTAAAAAAGAATCTGATCACCGAGAGCTTCTTCACAATAGAACTGAAATTAGAGTCTCGTGGAGAGAAAATGGATAAGTCAGAGGGGAAAGGAAGTGCCGACAAACTGAACGAGCACTTCAAGCAAAGAAGGTAGTCTCTTACAATCTAAGCCCATGTTTAGAGGAAGTTTGAAGGAGCTGTTGGCTGTTGAATTCTTTTCCCGTGCTCTGGGTGTGTACTCCAAACTCCAAGCCCAGCGGTTTGAGAGTTCGAATGACGGTTGCCGGTGAGACTTAAATGGCCAGCTCTGACCAGGGAAGGATCCCAAGTCGAAGTGGCCATTTGAAATGAGACCTACACTGCTAGACGTGTTTTTGGATGCTGAGTTCAAATCTGCTTTCCAAATTTGCCGAGC